AAATTTGAAATTTTTTCAACAAACATTTTAAAAAGTTACAGTATCAAAATTATTTCTTATTTTAAGTAGAAAGACTATTAGAGCATTTAAAAGTGTCTTTAATGCTTGAGTGATTTTAATGCTTTTTATCAAATGTACTTATTTTCTCATGGTGACAAAAAAAATTATCTACGTGAAAATTATTTTACAAAATCAATTTCTGAGTGATCTGTGTAGGGTGAGATTTGTTATGTAATTTTAAATTTAGCGGCGGCAGAATACCTAAAACAAATATTGAGTAGGTAGGTATATAGTTGTAGAGCGTACAACTAGATGGCGCTTGCATCTTTTACTTGCTACAGGTAATTTAACTCACTGTATTACCGATAATTCATAAAAAAGGAAAGCAATAGAAGTTGGAGAAAGTGTCAACAGTTAGCGCTGTTAATGACCACGAAATCTGTTCAAGTTTCCTATCTATAGTATCATTTATCTAGGGCGCGAACGACGATGAAACATTATTCAAACACCTAGAAGTCCTAGAACTAGTGGAGCAAAAGAATCCTATAGGCATTGGTTACTTGATTTAAGTATCAGCCAATAGAAGTAAAGCTATACAGATTCAGCCGCGTAATTCAAATAAATGGAGTGTAGTTTTTATAAAATTATAAATGTCACCTCACAAATTTAATGCAAAAAACTTGTTAGTACATCTAAATTATTTTACTTTTGAAATCTTGCTAAGTAAATACTTAGCAATGATTGAAAAGAAATCCTCTAATATTTACTAGATCCAGTAAAATCAGAATATGCAGCTGTATTTATCAAATGTTGCATTTGAATATATGATCTTTTATTTTTCTGTAGTAATTCTGTTAATTTATAATACAGTTTGGCACAACAAACAAACAAAAAAAATAGGTAGTGATGAGAAAAACGGTTACACACTTGTAACGTTACAAGTAATGTCGCTCCAGAAAAATACCGTCATTTTGTAACTACATTGTTGAGTCAGCTTGAAGACTGTTAGATACCCTGAGAATGATATGTCATTGTATCAGGTAGTTTAAATCTTGTAATTCATTTATTTGTCTGCTTAGAAAATAATTTTAATCAAACTCCCAACAAAATTATGAGGTCTCAAACGCAATAAATTGCGTTGTGTAAATAGCTGTTTGTATTGATGGTATTCGATGGTAATATTTTTTAATATTTTGTAGTTGTGGCTATTTTTCTTATAACTGGATATTTTAACAAAATATTACAAGAACTACCTTAATTTAATTAAGTATATATTAAATAATTTTTGTTTATAAAGAAAGTGTAATAGAAACACCTAAAATGCAGTTAGAAAATTATTCTAATAAATTCAATTACTCAGTCTAATACTCAGTTGCTTTAATTTTTCATTCCTCGGAGAAAACAAAAATCCTAGTTAATTGTCGCAGTTGTACAGTTTTACGTTCCAGTGTAACCGGTTACTTATAGTAGTAACGCAGAACGCCGTTCCAACAAAATTCCACTGCAAAATAGCATTATTTTTAATACCAACCCATCACTGGCGGTACTGGCAATAGTGGCGGTAGGCTGAAATGTACTCGATGCATACTACACACTATACATCTATGTAACCTAGAATATCTATTATTATTATTATTATTACTATTTTTTTATTATCTTTTTATCTAAAATCGACTGACACAACAATAAGAGGACAACTTTTTGCAGATAATTGCTAAAGCAAACTATAATAAAACAACACAAAGGTGAATTCGTCTTGTAGTAAAAATATTAGGGTGCATTAAGTTCCTAGATAGGTAAGTATATTATGAAGTGATTTTATCATAGATTGTAATCAGAATTTATTCTAAATAATTATGAGAAAAAATTATTTCATTGTCAACAGGATGTTTTATTAATAAATGGACAAACGAACTATGCAAATAATGAGTAATCCAAAATATGAAGATTTAACCTAATGATTAATATTTCTTTTTTGGCGGAAAATTTAGATACCATAGGAAACTTTAAATTATGGTGACATATTTTTTTGCTCTTAACCCCTAGATTAAATTTATTATTACATATTTAAACCTTAAAAGATAATAATAATAATGGATCATTCCAAATGAAAGTTAAGGTGACGAATGATTCAACAACACAAGAATACGTATGTAAATAAAGCAAATATATTTTTATTAATTAGTTCGCTAAATTAAGAAGTATGTATTTAGTACAATATTTAGTGGCGAATCTTTTACCAGCAATTATTCAGACACGCTACTTGATGATTATTTACATTTGTAGCGATGATATAATTTAGATTAATACGAATAATTAAAAAAACCTTTTATTCAAAAACTAGTTCTGGTCTAGACTAATATAATAATTAAAGAGTATATATCTTAATTAAGTCTCTTTAATTAAATAAAAATGTACTTTGACAGTCAACCTCTTACTCTTACAAAAGCTATCTTATTTTCAATTTTCACTGTCACATGTTAACTGGTCTACTGTTCCTAAAAAGAAATAAAAACTTTTCTTTCTCTCCACTTTTTAAAAGGCAACAACTATCTTAAAACGAATTTTAGAGCTTACGTTAGAAATTACTTTTTTCCTTATTTTGATCCTCGCCATTACATCCAAAGTCCGGTACATTATTTTTTACAACCTGTACATGTGAGTATGTAAGTTACGCGTTTTGCGTTAACGACTCTGTTTTTAAAAAATCTTAATAACTTTAATTTTTTTTAAAGGATTATAAAAGATTCACAAACAGAGGACTTTATGTCTCGGTGGCTAGAGAACAAGTGTTTATTCATGCAAAAGTATGTATTCTACAGAATCATTATCATATCATATCGTATTTCCAAGATAG